AGAGAGAGAGCGTGAAATGTTTTGCCAAATCTCACTTTCACCATAATGGACTCAAAGCAATCATATTCGCTATGATTTACTTTTCCATAATCTAATGGAAACGTTACTGTAATTCAATTTCTCTCTAAAGGCCGTCCATTACTACTATTCATACTCTGCGGACATTTAATATAAAATGAAATCGTTTTCTCTTAATTACTGTTTAATTAATATAACGTATAATTTTATACATCTTTGAACACAACATTAAAAATATAATAAAATATATCATGTTATACTTGATATAAAGTGACATTGTTATTATTAAAAATAGTATTTTTAGCACTTGATAACTTATTCAGTAATTGACAGTTTAGCATATTTGTTATAAACAAATTACACATTATATGCCTCAATATTACTAATTTCATTAACAAAATAATATATCAAATAATTTATCACATGATATGTTGACAATTGATAAAATCTGATGTTTGTTGAATACGATGTGCAGCGAAATTACAAATTAATTATTTGCTTCACATAAGGGTTATTATTATTACACCACTGTTTCCGATATCATATTAATATTGAGATATTTTTAGATACGAAATGAAATATGATTGCCATTTGATATTTGATGTTATTATAAATTATCACATTTCTTAAAGTTATCATAAATCTAAATATTTTATTAAATATTATTTATGTCTGGATTTTAGTTTGAAAATAACTTTATATATAAATAATAATTAATAACAATTTAATTAATAATATTTTAGTGTAAATATCTAATAATTAAATAGTAAATTAATATTTTTATTTTATTAATACTATAATAAAATTTATTAATGGGGCATAATATTAAATTACAATGTAGACCAAGTTATTATTTTAATTATTAACCATCATTAGGTCTTATATAAATCCAATTATTATTTACTATAATTATAAATAACAATTATTTCCAAGTATTGCTATATAAAAATTAATGAATAATTGTCACTTTTATTTGAACATAAGTTTCACATATTTTTCTCTTATTTGCATTACATTATTCTGTTAACAAACAAATACATTATGTATTTATAATAAAAATAAAACTATATTTACATTTTATTATTTTATTTATTATCACAATTCTAAATACTTTGGGCGTTAAATTATAATTTATAAATGATCATGGCAAATAATATACAGTAGTTTATTCATTTGAATGAAATTGTTGCCACATTTATAAAGAAAGAATTGTGGTTAAATAAAAGCGTTGTTATCAAACCTTGTTTAATTAGCTTATTTACATTTTAAAAAAGCTTATATTAAATTCTTTTGAATACTTCATTTTATTTAAATTTTAAAATTAATTTGTGATAATGACGTCAAATATCTTACAAATAATGTATTTATCTTTATTGAATATCTCGTAAAATTTACACATAATATGGTGACAAATTTTCTTAAAATTATTTTTATAGATTTCACATTTGATTAAATTATTATATGATATAATTTATATCTAATGTGAAAAAGTTGTCTACAACTTTTAATTCACTGAATTATAGGCTAAATGTTTATGAAATAATTTAATTTAACACAAATTAATGCTATTACAGTACATAAATATATCTTACATAATAATATTACGTATATTATGTATATTATACAGTATATAATATATTTAAGTGCAGAATATTTTCGCTTATTTAGGATGTTTTATAGACTAATTTATTTTAGTTGCTATAAATTTTTACTTTAAATAAATTATTTATTTAAATTAAAAAAAATTCTTTTACAAAATGAAAACAACAGACGGATTAACAATTGAAAAGTGTATTATTCCGACATAAAAATAATACATTGATTATTATATAAAATATGAAAACACAAAAGTTTTATCATTTTAAATATGATTCCTAATTAAGTTAATTAATTATAAAAATAAAACTAAAAACATTGTTATCATTGTTTTTGTTAGTATAAGACTGTCTTTTATCAGTTTGAAATGTGATTTATTTCTCTCATTAAGTGAATTCAGAAATGCATAACAATTAAACATTGTTTATCTGACATTCAATTTTAGGTTCATTAAAGCCATAACTCATTTACCAGAGAAGAGTTGATCTGAAAAAAGGGCGAAAAACACATCACAAGAATCGAGATCTATATATGAAAAGAAGAAGAAATGCTCGGAAGTGAGGTAATGGACAGTTGGCATCACTTTTCTTAATTATATCTACTGTAGTGCTGTTTGCATATGTATTGAACATGTAATCCAACAAATAATTTGTTTCAATTTACGTTTACTTTTTGCTCGTTTTTCGGTTCATTTGAATGTAAAGAATACTCAGGAGACGAATGACGGCAAACGACCCAAACATTTAGATAGCGTTCACGAATGCGATGAACTCTCAAATCCGGACACATCGGCCCCCAAACAGGAGTCCTGTCCCGGATTTTTTGGCGTCAAATCATATTTGCATCACTTCTACGAACAGGTTTCGGTCAAAAATCCACAACTCTATGAAGAATATGAAGAATACAAGTATTTTTATATTCATTACTTATGAATGTGTTTTCTCGTTATGCCTTAAGTTGTTGTTTATTAGCAAAGAATCCCATAATAGAGTACTACTTATCGTTAAATACTTGAGTGTATACTGTATTATGGAGTTTAAAATCATTTAATAAATGGCCGGCATTTTAGATATAGTTTTGAATGGGATTTACAAAAATGAGAAAAGTAAAAACAGTTTTTGAGTACATATAAAGTTACGTCAAAAACAGTACTACTATTTTGTGATCTATTTATCAATAAATCGTAAAAATATCCGTTTTCTCAGAAACTCTAATACAATAATAATGAATGAAAAGCTTATACTGTATTGTATTTTACAAAATGGTTAGACAGAGAAGAATTAAAAAATAAACATTTCCTTTTAAAGTGAATTTTATGGTTTAAAATAATTACAATAATACAAATCCTAATGTATATAGAATTTAAACAAATAATTAGTTTCTATACATATGACTATTCTGTAGAGAATCAGTGAATACGAAGCCAACAAAGTTTTAAAATTCAATTCTGGGGCTAATTATTTCTCTTTGTTTGCCATTAAATCCTTACTTACAGGCATTACATTGTAATTAAAGGCAAATACAGATTACATAATTAAAATAACACCCTTTAAGACAAAACAAACCATTTTATCATAAAAACGTAGGAAATTACTCAAAAAACTACATGTTATGGATATTAAAATATTTTTAATAAATTAATTATGATAAAAAATGAGTGTTTGTTGTAATTTGAATAATAATACGATTTGAATGTTATATTTAGGTATTTGATTGCACCAAAAGAAAAAAGACGAGCCTTATTCTTCTGGCGATCCATTTTCTGGATAGGTATACAAATAATTCATTAGCTTTTTTGTAATTAACCATTATTTATAGCAACTAATTATGAAATATAGTTTTGTTTTTGTGTGCAATTTACTGTTTTTGAATTTAATTGTCTATTCTATACCAATAATACATTATATATTTCACTGCTTTTGTTTTAATCTAGAAAAAAGTGAATTCAAATTGCAATCATATGAATAGATATATTAATAGCTATTTTTGTATCTCATTTTTCTTGTTGTTGTGTTATATTTGGAATTACAATCATTTAATTATATTAATGTAATTTACTTTTTCTCAATTCATTTTCCCTGTATATCATTCAATATTAACATAATGTCTATATTTGGGTTAATGTTATGCCATATATTTGTGAACATTTAAAACAACAGTAAAACCATTACTTTGTTAATGCCTTTATGTTTTATATGGATATTATGATTGCAATCAAAGCACTTAAGATTAGTACTTAACTGTACTTTTTATTCAAATTAGTTTCTCTTATAGTATTACTTATTAAATAATTGAAAAATACTGTTGTTTTAATTCTTCTTATTATAATATTTAGACATTTCGTTAACTTAAACTATTTATAAATATAGTTACAAATATACTGAAGGATTCTTATGATAAATTCATATTTACTTAATAGCATAATCTTTTATAAGAAGATTAATCATTTTGTATGCATTAAAATGATTACAAAATCATTGCATTTGTGTTCAAATCAAATCATAAGACGAATTAAAAGAAAAAAATAAACAATAATAGGATTAGAAAATGACATTAAATTGATTGAAGTGCTCTACAAATGATATCATTTGTTATTGTAGTGTATATTAAACCAAAAACACAGGCATTATATGCCGTGAAATAGAGAATTAAAGACATTGTGAGATCAGCGCCAGAATATTCTTCAACAGAATTCTCAATTTGTTTTGAAAAATAAAATAAATTGTTAACAAAAAATGTGTCGCTATTTGTTTCACAGGATTCATACTACTAGTGTTGGGAGCGTTAGTATTAATAGCCGGTTATGTAATGCCGCGAATGAATATAGACGTGGGCTATCAGGAGGAGATGCGGATCATCGATCGGGCGGCCTATATGTTCAACCAGAACCTCGAGTGGTGTAAAATCGTAGGACTGGCCGTGTTTTGTGTCGGCGGTGTATTGCTTTCGGGGTCGTTACTACTGCCCGGACTCGTAGGCCTTTCCTGTTTGGACGACACGGACGACGACGAGTCCACACCATTTAAGCTCCGCATCGCCGACACTGAAGACTACTATTGCGATGATTTGTGCGGAGACGAGAAGAAGGATCGGATACCGGCCACAGAAGAGCTGAAGAGTGTTCAACCGAAACGCGAAGACAAAATTATTATCACTAATTCTGGCCTTAAAAAGGTTGACATGGATTGAGATGTTATGTGAAAATATATAATAATAATAACTTATAAAACAGATATATTGATATAATATTTGACACAAAACGTATGGTTATTATTAATCTTAATACTTTGGTCTCATTTTAATTTAATTAATTCAATTTAATTATTTCATGTTTTCGACAAAAATATCATACAATCAATCATTTATATAAGAAGTGAGGCTTTAATTTCACACGCATTTAGTATATTACATAAAATATGATGTTTTTTAATAACGCCTCCAAATGTCAAACGAAATTAGAAAAAAAGTTGACTAAAAATTCGGAAAATTTAAATAATTTCAAAAATATTAAAAATGTCTCATTTTTTATTTTGTTTCATTTAACACCAAATCACTTGGTTTTTATAAAATATTGAATTTCATGTTTAAAGAATTTGTTATTTGCATTCATTTATTATTGATTTTATATATAATCTCATAATTCATAAAATATTTTGTATTTTTAGTCAA